GTCAGCGTTCTCGACAGAACACCGGCACTAAAATTTTAAACAAGCGGCTGCCTGAGGTCCTGCGCTTGTTGGGGACCTTGGAGACAGAAGCATTGTCAATCTTTGCAGAGGGTAACGTTAGATTACTAGAAAAATTAGATATACTTGACTAACAAATTCAATCCAAACTCCAGATAACACTTTTTAAGCAGTTACAGCAACTATTTTGTTTTCCTTTTGGAACAAAGATTTTACATACATTAATAAAATCAGACCATTGTAAAAACCCCTATCAGTGTTAAATGGTCTCAACTCTCTATTGGCCACTTTTATTGGACAGCTTGATCTGTTAAAGGAAGTTGAAAAAAAAAAACCTTAAGACTGAAGCCTGGTATGCACACTTCAGATTTCAGTGTCAGCACCTTTCCGCCTAGCATTCCTTGATCAGCTGATCAAAGGAGCAGGTTGGAAAATCGTCTGAATAGATGGTTGGCCGCTAGCTTAGTTTGGGTATTCTGACAGCTGCCGCTGTCAGAATTCAAAGAGAAACAGCACGGGATTTCTCGATCAACACTCAAAAGTATTGATGGAGGAAACTGTTCTTTTTTTTCTGTTCAGCCCATGGGTTGAATGGGAAAAATAGAACTGTGTATACCTGGCATTACTGGCTGGATCACCAAGGGTGAAATAAAGAAAAAAAAGCCGGAAATTTATTTGTAATCATCAATCTATTACATTTTTGCTTTTGGGTTTAGATACACTTTAAGTCTGATTATATAAAATTATGGACTATAGAGATGAAATATAATTATATGTGTTTGACAAGGGGCTTTGTGCATAATACCTCTCGATTACAACATAATTCAACAGCCTTGTTTAAGACCAGCCCCAGTCTATGATTAGACAATCAATGAGCACCAGCACACTGAGGAGGTTATCCCGCTAAAGTGTCATCTAGTATGCATGTTCACACAATTAGACTGATAGCAGTGTGAAAAGCAAAAGAGCCCTGACAAGTGCTCTCCCTTTCTCACTTTGGTGTTGTGCTGAGTATTACAAAATACTAATATCAAAAGAGATTTAAGTACTTATGCAAGTTATATGTAGAAATACATTAAAAAAAAAAAACATACCTAGCTTAAATAGTGCTTTATATATGCCTTGAGTTTTACTTTACTTAGCCACGTTAGGGCCTTAAATGTAAGAGAAACATCTAAAAAAAAAAAAGTCAACAAGGTATCTAGGATGTATCTACTATGTCCTTTTTCTCTCTCTCTGCTCCTGTTTCCCCCGCCACTATTAACGAGAGTTGCTGGCTGTCAAAATGACTGCTAGGAATTGCTATACATAATATATCAGAAGTGGCTGTTAAAATGCAACCACTCCTGTGTAAAATGACACTTACAGATAGTCTGCAAGTGTCATTAAGTAAGGGGGTGGTTTTTGTAGTCCAAATCAGGACAACAGCCCAGGGTGACAACTCTTGATGAATTGGGTTTGCACCAAGCCAATCCTCATCACTACTCTCCACTCTAATTAAAATTAAATGAAAAGTTTTGACTTCAGTTGAACTTTCAAGTGTGGTCCTGCATCGTAGTGCTGGAAGCTGCTGGGACTCCAGTAGATCATGCAAACATAAGTGTAAAAATGTACCATTACAGTCCTAGCACCATTAAGTGTGTCCTGTACGATAGGAAATGTTGAAATTAGGTATATACATGGAGAGAAATCAAAGATGACAAAAATGCCCAGCACATAGTTAAGACCTCAGATATTTACTAAGGTCGAAAAGCAAAAATTGCATGCAAAGAGAAGACCAAAATCATCGCCATTTTGGAGGCAGAGAGGCCCCTTTCTCAGGGTGACAGACAATCTATGCAAGAAAACTATACATCTGTTTATATACCCACATTTAATTACAACCCAAACCGCCTATGTGACAAATTGATGGTCCATGCTGGGTCCAGTGCACTGCCTTGAATGCAAGTTGTCATAATGGGCTGCTTATCTGTGCAGCATCATCAAAATGTGCAATCACCAGTACCTAAAAAGGACTGCCTGTCTGTGGCCTTAACTCAACATGGAAAGCAATTTGCATTACAGACACAGGAAGTGAGCTCACTGCATGTGCCAAGGAAGTGGAAGTGACCCGTAACTATTGGAAATCAGTGTGAAAACGAAGAAGACCTATCTAATCTTGAAGATACTACATTAGACTCCACCTCGTGGTGAAAAATGAAATTACAGACAAAAAAATATTAACAAAGAGCATAGGAAAAAAAGAAAGGCTGGCCAACAAGATCTTAATGGAAAAAGGATAGAAACATGCTGGGAGCCGGATCGGCTCTGTGTCCTCTTCAATCCTTGCTGCCTCTGCTGCCTGCCTGTGCCTGTGTCAGGCACAGGGGACACAGACCGAAGCTTGCAGCCGGTGCCGAATGGGGAGGGGAGAAGCTAGGGATGCACCGCATTTTTGTTTTTGTGTTATCGGTATTTGGTCCATAGTATCATTTTGGCCAAAATGTTTTGGCAGACAAAATTTCGATGCATCCCTACGCAAAAGGCAAAAAAATTAGATCCCTAACTAATGAAAAAAACTTTATACCTATAACTTTTATATACATTTTATATCTCAGGTATAAACCATACCTATTTACTATATACACCCGGTCCTCTGGTGCATTGCTGCCAATTGCTGGCATGGGGTCTGACGGAAAAAGGATTGCATCAATTTCTTAGCAAGTGGAGTTAGTTTGTGCCCTACCACAACCTCGAAAGCAGGCAACCATCATAAAACACACACAGTACCCCATTTAGACCCATATATACATATTTCCAAAGGTTAAAGAGAATTGTTGCTGATTAATCATCCTTCAAGACAGATTTTTACTGGGGCATCTCCCTGGAATACGTTTTGAAAAATGGTATAATGAGTTAAGAGTTTATTATTGACACTGCCATATATGTTAACACTGTCTGTTTGTAAGAGGTATATGTGTAGAATATTATTTGTTTTGTCGCTATTTTCTATGAAAAAAAAGGTTTTGTTTAATTTGTACACAGTTTCTCCAAAAGACCCCTTTGTTTCTTCAACCTATGGAAATTTTGCACCAATTTCTTCTGGATTGAGTGCCCATTCACACCTGATGCGCTCCAGTGCAGCCCAGAAGCTAGACGAGGCAATTTGCCTGGTCACGGATGGGCACAGTTTGCGCTAAAATAAATGTTTTTAAGCACACCACAGTGAGACGCATCGGGCCACGGTGTGCCCATAGAGCTTAATGAAATGTCACTTGTGAAAAAAAGAAACAGTGTGATGCGGCTCGATTGAGCACTGTGCCTGGCACACGCACCCCAGCATCCATATGGTTGAGCGTGGCTGCTGGTATGAACAAGCCCTGAAGGAATGTACACCAGTGTCGTCTCCGGTTGCAAACCGTCATGAGGTCAAAAAATCACCACTTCACACACACTGTAATTGTCTCAAGGATATTTTGATCAGAACGGATCTGTTGAAGAAGTACCAAGAGGTTTTAGGATTTGGCTTCAGGTCTACTTTAAGCAGAGCTCAGCAGCGGTATGCATGCTCCCACAAGGCCTCTCTGAGAGCTGCAGAGTAATAGCTGCAGAGTAATACGTCTAACCATAGTGGCAGGGGGTGGAAATGAGGCAGGCAGCAGGAAGACTAAGGCCCCTCTCACACTGGCAGTTTGTTCAGATCTGCCTGTCAGTTTTTCATGCGGATCTGACCGCAAGCCCAGTATAACTGTATGAGCAGCCAAACTTAAACAGACCTGCGTCCATTTTCATCCAATTACCCCGACTCCGTCTAGGTCTGGAACAAAAACGGAACAGAGTTTAATTTTGGTGGACCTGATCATAACAGGTCAGAGTTATTCGGCTGTAATTAGACAAATATTTGCTTACATCTGACTTCCCATAGACTTAACTTGGGTTCGGTTAATTAAATTTTTTTTCTCCATTGCAAGATGGAGGGAAAAACTGAATGGGTGTCACAAAAGTGGCATCTGTTCCCTACTTCTCTGATCAGCAGTGGGTCTGTGCACAGCTCCCCTGCTGATCGCAAAGGACAGTGCCCGTGTGAAAGGGGCCTAAGGGACCTGACACTTCTGGAAGTGTTGGATTAGGGTTATTCTAGCAGTACTGATGACCAAACTGTACAGTTTAATTATGCAGAGGGGCAAATTGTGAGTATGATCTTTGCCGTTACCCCAGCAATGGTAGCCACCCCTCCAAGCTCGCTCCTGTGATGGACTACAATCTCAATACAAATTAGTAAACTGAACGTGAGATTGTTGTCCATCACAGAAGTGAGATTGGAGCGGTGGCTATTTTACAACACATACAGGGACCATGTGGAACAAAAGTAGCTCCCCTCCAGAAGGAAGGACTGTGTCAGCACCAATTCAGAGATGATTTGGGGATCTACAGCCGAGTGATACACAAATAAGATTAATTTTTCTTATTAGTTTAGGTGCTTGAATGCATTTCTAAGAATTAACTCCTGAGTTTAGTGTCACATTAAAAGTGAAAAGTCATGTGAAGAATACATTTTTAATTGGTTGCAGGGGATGGCTGCACATTCCATGCGTCTCTGTCAAAACATAATAGCTCATCTGAAAAATCCATTATCACAGAAAACATAATTAGAACATTGCATCTTAAAGGGACTATCCAGAAATGTGTCTAATTCTTGATCCAATCTATTGCTCTTGCATTAGAAAATATGCATACCTCCACTGTATACATGCCAGTATTTGTCGCACTGCAGCTGAGGAGGCTTCAAGAATCATAGTATATGAAGCCAAAAAAAATGCAGTTCTTAGAAGCGCCATTATTTCAGCTCTGATGACTTATACTACACAGATATTGCTAGTAGGAGATATAGAGCGGATCCTGTTATTTAAGTCATGGTGGCATCTTTGAACAAGCTCTTCTGAATATGTTCATTGTGTTTCACATAATTGTTATAAAAACTGTATATTTCTTGTGTCTTCCAGAAGATGGACGCAAGCTTAAAGGTGCTATTCAGCGAAGTACGGAGACTGGGCTTGCTGTTGAGATGCCAAGTCGGACTGTACGTCAAGCAAGCCATGAATCCATAGAAGATAGTATGAACAGCTACGGATCTGAAGGAAAGTAAGTTATTCAATCACCTATCCTCATGTTCTTCCAGTGAAATATTAATATATGGCATTCCTGTCATTGACCAGTATTGTAGTATATTTTACAGAAAGAGGCTTGTAATATGATGCTTTTTAAAAAGTGTGTCTACTGTAAACTTTAACCTCCTGTAATGTAAAGACAAACATTTTAGATATTTAAAGTGACTCTATCATGAGAGAAGTATGGAGGCTGCCATTGCTCGCCTCCTTCTGAAAATGATAGTTGCCTGGCCTGACTGACTTACGTTTATGCCACAGAGCCAGAATAAGCATGCTGTAGATCAGGGGACCTCAGCCTACGTCCCGCGGGCCAGATCTGGCCTGCCAGGGTCCTTAACCTGGCCGGCTCGGCCACAAGCCCCTTGCCGTAGGCGTCAGGGCCGGATTAACGTAGGGGCTAAGGGAGCAGCAGCTCCACGCCCCTATCCTAAAATAGGCCCAGCCGCCCTAAACAACATATAGCAATCAATCGGCCAGCCACCGGCGGGGTCCGGGGAGAGATCGGCATTCGGCCTGCCCCGTCTGGGTGTCGGGGAAGAGTCACAGGCCATTCCGGAAGCTTGACAGCTTCTGTGTTCAGCCTGCAAGGCTGTGCCCTTTCATCTCAGGGTGCACGCCGTGGCACAGGACGTTCGGAAGCCAAATCAAATGCCAGGCTTCCTTTAGCAACGTAACACCAGTGCGGCTGCGCCCCTCCAACTTTGGGCGCACGCCAGCACAGGCTCCTGGAGGGCGGCCAATAAAAAGAGAGCTGGGATATGGAGGGATGTTATCTCCCTGCCTCTCCCACAGCTGCATGCCGCTGTCGAGAGGTAAGACAGGGCAGTCTACGTGCCTATTCATTTTAATAAATAACAAATACTTGAGCTGTAGAAAATAATAACAAATCATGCTAGTACATGTCCCAGTCTACGAAAAATGAATTGTATTAGAACATGTTTTGTTTATTAAAGAAGTTGCTAAAAATATTTATATACAGTATACCTTCTAAATAAGGGCTTATTCACACCAATTGCGGTGCGTTCCAGAGCGGCAGCTGCTGGAACGCACAGCAATCGCTCACTAAAGTTCCCCCTTCGTTCTGGGACGGGAGGGGGCGTGACGGTGCATTGAAGTCAATGGCACCGCAGCCACGCCCCCAGTTTTTTAAACTATGATCCTGCCCCCAACAATGTTTGAGGGACAGTGAACTGGCCCCCCCTGTTTAAAAAGTTTGAGGACCCCTGCTGTAGATAAATGCCAGAAAAGTGTCAGAACTCCTGATATCTGTACTTATTCTGGACCAACGACTCAGACAACGCTGAAGCTAAGCCTTGAGAGCCAGCATGAGAGCCAGGGAACCAGCATTCTCTAATAGAGAGTTCAGAAATGGCACCCCCATTGTCCTCACAGATTCTTTCTCTCTGACATATTCCCTTTAACTATGGTAATGTGCACAGGGCCGGTGCAAGGATTTTTGCCAACTCAGGCGAAGGTGCATTTTGCCGCCCCCCCCCCCAGGCGTGTGTCCGGTCTGTGTGGTGAGCGTCGTCACTCGTGTATGGAGCTGCGCACAGGCGGGCGTGAGAGGCGAGCGGGAAATTTACATTTTTGCCGACAAATCGGCCATGAAAAATATTGACAACGTTTTCCATTGTTGATTTTAATCGACTAATTGTTACAGCTCTATATTATTGCTGGGATTTTTAGTCCTTTGTAACTGCTGGTGGTATTCTCCATTGCGCTGTATAATGATTATACTGCGCTATGCAGATTACCACTGACCAGTTATAGAGGAACTACAAATCCCAGCAATAATACATTATACAGCGCAATGGAGAATACCAGCAGCTATAGAGGAATAACAAATCCCAGCAATAATATATTAACCAGCCTGTATAATGTATTATTGCTGGGATTTGTTGTTCCTCTATAGCTGCTGGTGTTCAGCATTGTGCCGCTGTATTATACAATGCACAATACAATACACAATACAATACACAATGCACAATACAATACACTTTACACAATATATTATACAATGCACAATACAATACTGTATTGTATTGTGCATTGTATATTGTATTGTGCATTGTATATTGTATTGTGTATTGTCAATACACAATACAATATACTGTATATACAATGCACAATACAATACAAAATAATACAATACAATGCAGCATACCACGTGCACTTTGTCTTTGTAACATTACATACCGCTCCCACTTCAGCCAGCTCCCAATCCCGATTCCCTATACGAGTCCGACCGTGGGTCACCAAGAGAGGGTGAAATCGCCTCCTCCTCCTCACTCGGTTCCAACAGGATGACGCCACTGCCACCACACTGCCTGCTGGTCCGGTCCGTCCGTTGCTCCGCCTCCTGCAGCCCTCGCTCCAGTCCTTCACATGCGGCTGAGCGGCCAGGGGAACCAGGGGCGGGGCCAGTTACGTCACTCACTGACGTAGCCAAGGAAGGACGAGACACTCAGTGAGACTGAGTGTCACTGAGTCTGAGACGTGAGACTGCACTGCACAGGTCAGCGCCGCATGCTTCAGATGCCGGCCACCCGCCCGCAGCGGCAGCCCACACACTGAGAGTCTGGTCTCGATCGGGCGACTTTTCCGCCCTGTTCCCTGGCGCCGTAAGGCAAGTGCCATCTTGCCTTGCGCTAGCGCCGGCCCTGAATGTGCACGTCCCTTCTCCATGAATTGTTTGCTCTTAGTTTAATATGTTTTGTTTAGGACACTTTCATTCAAATACAATAAAGATAAAAGGGCCTATTTACATATATAACATTTTACTTGTGTTTGTGAGATATCATTGTATGCTTGGCAACACTATACTTCAATTCTGTATCATAACTAAAAACAAATTTGTTGTTGTATTACTAGGCGTAGAACTGAAAAGTATAAATAGCTCTGGAGCTGAACTGCTTAAAGTGCACCTTTCCCCAGGTTATGGAAATTAAATAACTTAAAAATTCTTAAAGCTGGACTCCATCTTTAAAAATGTAGCTATACTTACATTGGTCCCGCTTGGCATAATGTAAGCATATATAAATGGTCTCTGGCAGGACACAGGGATCCTGTAATACACTGTAGTAGCCACAGTTACAACAGTGCATTACAGCGTCCTCTGGATCCAAGATGAACCACTGTCCTGTGCCGCATCCTCTGTGCTGTTAAAATACAGCAGGTTGCTCACTCAACGTAGAGGCTATTCAAAGAACACCTAGTATTTTTCACAATGAATCACAGGCATTCTCTGATTGGACAAGGGGCAGTGCCATGATATCACTGCTCTTTGTTCAATCAAAGAAAGCCTAGTATTCATTAAGAGAAATAATAAATGTCCTCTGAATGGCTGCCATGCTGACAGCACAGGGGAAGCTGCTCAGCACAGTGGCTATTCCAGGATCCGGAAAACGCTGAAGCTAATACAGTGTATGCTCAATTGCTATTGCCCTGCCAGGGAGGATTTACTGTATATATACTTACATTTTGCCAATCTTGACCAGTGTAAGTAATTATACATTTTTAAAGCTGGAGTTCAGTTTTAACTATGAGTAAAATATATTTTTAATAAGCCCTCATTGACCTCTGTAGTTGTAACTACCGTGAAGAAATTTATCTTTAAAGGTTACTACAAAGACTCTGAAGCAGGGTTTCAGTAAGGTTCTCAGAACTTACAGCTCCTGCTGTTTGATTACATTACATGGCCAGCAGGCTGCCAAGTTTCTGTTGCCATAGAAAATAAATGTAGAGGAACTGTGAATTAATTGCCTCTTACTTTGTACTTTGAGGATGATTTTTTTTCAAAATGCCTACAGATACGGAGGTCATTGAGAGCTCATTTTTAAGTTCGTTTACTGCTTATTGACAATGTATACATAATCTAATGTCCATTGTTTGGTACACTTTAAAGTTCACTTTCCTGAGAGAAATATGGAGGCTACCTTTTCAATTTCTAGTTATTTATTATACTGACCCTCTGGTTTCACTACTTTAAATGGGTAATTCCAGTTTCCTACCAAATGTGGCAAACTGAAATTACCCCCACAATCTGGTCCCCTCTGCCCTCGCCAGCTATTACTACCTTTGGGGGGACCGCCATTTTCCCCTGTTCCAGCCAGTGGACGATCTGTACACCGTACATGGCATAGTAGGCCGGTATTCTGTCTATAGAATAATGCTCGCAAATGTTGAGGATGCTTTGGTCAGCCTGGTCACCTGAATAGGAGTATGAATAGCTTGGAGGGGTGTGTGTGTGTGTGTGTGTGGGGGGGGGGGTTACAGGGGACCAATTTTGTAGGGGGTAATTCTAGTTTCCTACATTTGGTGGGAAATTGGAATGACCCTTTATCAATTATGTAAATCTGGTAAATCAATGTAAAGTCAGAAATCAGTATCTGCATATGTGTACTGGGTTGGCAAGATAAATTAGTGAAGAAAGTCAGTTAACATGACAACTTCCTCGTTTCTTTTGGAAAAGGTTTCCTTTAAAGTGGAACTTAATGCAAGACACACTTTCTGTTCTTGTGATAGGTGTTTGTGGGAAAGGAGTTGGGGGCAAATGTTCCCAATAAATACCTGGACTGCAATCCCAAAAAACTAACCATATGAGGTTCTAACCCTGCCATATGCAAAAGTAAAAAAAAAGAACAGGCTTAAATTTTTCTTTAAATCTTATTTTAAACACACAGACCTCGGTCCAGGAAGAGGGATCTTTGCCCTGGAATCGCTTATGGCTTATGTTTATTTAAACAGCATTCAGTAAAAAATGTCTTCCACAAAAGACATATATATTCATTAAATGAATGCCAGGTTTGCAAAATGTAATATGAAATAGTCTTGAAGCAGAAGTAAGCTGTATCATTGTTCATTTATTATGCTCAGTGAACTGATCTTGGAACATCTTTGGATATTATACAGCGTAAAGGGAAAATATGCAGCAGAGTCATCCATTCATCCATGAGTGGCAAGCGAGTTTTG